ATCTATCTATCTATCTATCTATCTATCTATCTATCTATCTATCTATCTACCTAGGCCACGAGGTTGGGAGAAAGTCAGCAGTAGTCAGTAGAACAGGACAAGCAGATGGAGAAAGAAGCAGACAGAAGTACAAGGAAAAGCTACAGTAGCACCCAGCTACTAGAATTGTTCCAGTATCCTAAACAATTCTCCATCCAGTTTCACTATTCAAATGCTGACAAGGTGCCTTAATTCCCTGAATAATCTAATCATAAATTCTTTTTCAGCTGAGGTATCCAAAGCATGGCATTAACCTTTACAACCTGAAATAACCTAACCAACACACACATACAATCCCATATCCAGTAAAGAGATCAGCTTCCTGAAAGTTATGTTTTCCACCTTCATTTTCTGAGCTATTTTTGGCTAGCAAGAACTTATCACAGACTTGTGTCTGTAGCCTAGAATCGTATTTTAATCAACAGTTCTGCCCTGTTTCTAAGTGAACAGAAATTAATCCTATCACAATTTTTTTTGCCCATTTCTACCCACAAATCATCATCAAGTTTGGAAACCTGAATGTCATATGAAAAAATAATAGTGGTATTTTATTTATTACATCACATGACATCAGTAAGAACAAGGAGATATTTCCTTGGCACACAATATACTTCTTTCTCTCCTTCTAAATTTATATTCTAACTAAACAGAAAAATTGTTTTCCATTAAGAACAACAACAAAAATAAGCCAGTCTAGCAGTTAGTACAAGCTCCCATATTAAAAAAAGAAATCTGCATAACATTTGAAAAAGGCAATTTTTGTGTTCTACCCAATTCATAGACACAAACTTCTATCTATTCTGTCTATAATGTAGCGATGTCCCTCAAATTCTTGAATTTACCTAACAGCTTGGTAGAGAAAAAGGTCTAAAATAAGCCTTTTATTGTCAGTTTGAATTGGCAGTTGACAAGATTCTCAAGATGCCCTGAGTCATCCTTGACTGCTCTCTTTCTCTCATACCCATATCAAATCCATCAGGAAATTCTATTGGCACAATCTCCAAAGCTTATCCAGAATGTTAAGGTGCCTTCTTGATCTCTTGTGGAATGTCTCTTCCTCTGCCTGTCCTTCAAATGGTGGTGGTCCTCAGAGAATACCCAGCAACCCTTCACTCTTCTTGCTCATCCCGAGCAAGCTCCTTCTCCCCGTGACTCACAACTGTAATGTCAGGCCAAGTCTTTTCACCAAATGTTCAGATGGCCTCCACTTGCATGTCTTACAGACTTCTCAAACCTAAAGTGCCCCAAACTGAAATAATCTTTTCCAACACATAAACCTGTTGTTTCTGAAGAATTCCCCACCCGAGGGAAAGCAGCCATGAGTTTTACCCAGTTCTTCTGGAAGAAAATACAGAATGATTTTTATAAAATATAAGCCTGAATGTGTTACTCCCCTACTTAAAATCTTTCAATCTCCCCTAAGAGTAAAAGCTGAAGGCCCCTTACAAGCTGTCCCTTTCCTAGTCCCTTCAACCTCATTTCTTATCACTATCACCTCACTCATTCCACTTCCACCACGCTTCTTCTCAATTCACTCCTCAAATTATTCAGGCATTTTTTTAACCTCAGAGCCTTGACTATTACCTGTCTAGAACACTCCCCACCCCACCAGACAGCTACATGATTCAGTCCCTCTTGTCCCTTAAGTTTCTATTCAAATGCCATCTTCACTGTGCAGTCTATCCTGATATTATTTAAAACTACATTCCCACCTCCCTCACCTGTATAAACAATAACTCAATCTGTTTCTTTTCATAGTACTTACCATCTAACATGTAATATAAATTCCTTATTATGTTTACTGTTAGTCTGCCTTCTTAAGAATAGAAACTTGAGGGCAGAGTTTTGTTCATTTTCTTCATTGATACATATGTATATATGACAGTTAAGCGGTGAGCTCTGGAATCAGAATGCTCAGGCTCAAGTCCTGGCTCTGCCACATAATAATATACAGGGTCTAGCATAAAGTAATTGCCAGGCTGGTCTTGAACTCCTGGCCTTAGGCAATCCTCTTACCTCTGCCTCCCAAAGTGCTGGGATTATAAGCATGAGCCACTGCACCTGACCCTAAAGCAAATTTTTATTACCATGTAACACTACAGTAACCAAAAGGACAGAAACCCTTTTCTGCATTTTTTAGTAATTTATTACCTTCTAGGCTAAAAAGCAAACATGACTCAGGGTGGGGGAGGGTGTGTGTGTGTGTGAATGTATATGTATATATGAAAATGCTTGATTAAATGATTTTGCAATTAAATAATAAAGGTGATATAAAGCCACAAGCCTATTTTGAAATTGTATTGTGAAACATCAAATTAGGAAGATATAGTATAGTCAACTATATCATCACACTCACTGTTAAGAGAGTTATCAAGAGCTCAGGCACGTGCCATTAAGCTAGAACTGATCTAATTTGTAGTTAGCTTTGAGTTACTTTGATGTAGGCATGTCACCTTCACAGAAATTATTTTCCATTTTTTAACAGTTGCAAAATTTCACTTGTTCTGTTTTTATAAATTTTTAGCATCAATATCTATATTTTGTATCTTCCTTTGAAAAAGGAAAGCAAAAATAAGTAGAACAGGGCATTTACAAAATTCATGATCTTCGTAGTATTTACAGTGTCATTATTAAATGTGCCAAGAGAAAGTTCTATCTCCAAAGCTAGGTAATACCAACAACAGCTGATAATGTTAATTAAATGTTTTCAGTGAATTGTTTTCATACCTGTGTTTTCTTATGAGGTACTTGCAATGCCTCAGTAAATAATCTTTTGAAGGTCTACACAACTTCAGTGACCAGAAGTCATCTAATCTCATCTTTGGAGAGCAAGATTTTCCTGGATTCCCACCAAATAAATAATGAACCTATAATAAGCAAAATAAGCCAGACTTTAAAAAATGCATGCATACCCAAGATATTTTAGTAGCAGTGCATAATAGGTTAACTTACTGAGCCTATTTAAATAAAAAATTAAAAATTATATTGCATTTTTACCAAAATCTTCTCTCGATTTTTCTCGTTTCTATTTTACTTTAAAGCACCATGGCTACTTAAAAAAACTGCATGTATGCTAAAATGAGTTACGTTACTACAATTACAATGATAGTGGAAGGCATGAAACAAAAATAATGATAGGAAGAAGCTAATCCATGATATTATTTGCTGAGGACAACAAATAATGGGGATAAAATTAATCAACATATTGATCATATAACAAATATCTTAAAAATTCTGACATGAATGCTCAATCACTAAAAGTTAACAGTCAAGTCAACAGGTCAACTAGAAACTTTAAAAAATTTTAACATCTTAATTTTGCTTTAACTGAAATGCCAAATATTAAATGGCACATATAATTTGTGAAATAACATTAAAAAATTATTCCATAATTCAATACCAAAAATGAAATGCAAAAGGAATTTATGATTTCACTATTACATTAATCAGAGTTATCTGTTCCTCAGATAACTTTGGAAGATAAAACAGTGAAGAAACAGAATCACTTTCATCAGTGGTAGAAGTGAGAGTATAACTGCCTAAATTTATTGCATTGAATGTTTTTCTGTACTTATGCAAAAGCATTTAAATATTTAAATATTTTAATTACAATTAGTGTATAAATTTATTAAATTAAAATATTTCCTAAAATGTTAAAAACATTTATATTCATTGGTGTTTATATAATAGAGTAATTATCCCTATCCTATAGATGGAAATTCATTTACTCCTTAAATTGAGAGGTTATAAAAGAAAGGGCTTTTACTCACTCCCATGGTAGCTTTTACCTAAAGGTCTCAAAGTATATCATGTAGAATTTAAATAATCATCCGTGGCTTAACAGAAATAATTGGTCTCTGTCAGTAATTTACTATATAATCTAAGTCCGATCACTAAAGTACATGGTTAAGTTTAAGGGAGAAATAAATAACTCTCAACACTATGACACTAAAAATTCACAACACAAGACCATTTCACAAGGCTCATTTAAAAGAAAAATCACTAGTATATCAGGAAAATTAAGATAAAAAGACTTCTTACACAATGGGAAAATCTAAAACCAAAAACCATGTTATATCACAGAACAAGGTACCTGAATGCTGACAACTGTACATCTTTTACTTGGATATTCACATTGTAGAAACAATAGGCTATGTCATATCTCTAGAGTTATCAGCTAAAAAGCTGCCACTGACTATTTCCAAAAAAGGAAAAGTACCAAGAATTATAGACTATGTAAAAATGCTTATTCTCTTAAGGAATTTTAGGGAGAAGTGATATTGAGTGTTTAATATTCTATTGAATGTCTACTACGTATTTTAACTTTTTCCTCAAATCCAATTTAAAACAATCAGAAAGATATATTTGGGGATTAATTCAGACAGTAGGCCATGGAAAGTTTACAGGTCAATGTAGTTAGGATACCTTGTGTAGCTCATCGTATACAAGCTGATGGGCAAACCTTGGACATGGTTCTTCTTCCTGAAGACTTTTAGTTGGATTATCCTTTGCAGCTTGATCATTCTTATAGACACAAGACCTGCAAGACACTGCTTTTAAGGTATTCTACCTTAGAGAATTAGCAGCAAAGATAATACAACTGTAGCAACTAAATTAATTGCATGTCTAACTACTAACAAAAAATTTTAGAAATATGTTCACATCAAATATTAAAGTTCTAGTTACTCAGGCTGGGCGTGGTGGCTCACGCCTGTAATCCCAGCACTTTGGGAGGCTGAGGTGGGTGGATCACGAGGTCAGGGCTTTGAGACCAGCCTGACCAACATGGTGAAACCCCATCTCCACTAAAAATACAAAATTAGCTGGGCGTGGTGGCGGGCGCCTATAATCCCAGCTACTCAGGAGGCTGAGGCAGGAGAATTGCTTGAACCCGGGAGGCGGAGGTTGCAGTGAGTCGAGATTGCACCACTGCACTCCAGTCTGGGCGACAAAGCGAGACTCCATTTAAAAAAAAAAAAAAAAAAAGGTTCTAGTTACTCATAAAACACTCTGAATTTGTTAGAACTGAGTTCTGAAGTTCTTTTCATGTCCATTAAACAGCTCACGTATCCTACTTTTTGTTATGAAATACAAACAGCATACATGAAAGCTCAAACTAAAGAAAGAGACGCTATCTTATGTATGTACAATAAAAAGATGTACAGTATACACTGTTGTCATTTGACTGTAAATAAATGTCCTATTTAGAAAATAATAAATTCCTTAGCTGCAGAGCACTACTCTCCATTATGAAAGGAGTTCTCTGAAGTGCTTCTGTTCTGTACAATATTCACTTATGGAGCAATCACAGAATGTCAGAGCTGGATCCCTGTTTTCCCAAAGCAAAATGTGCAGCACCAGTTCTGTGGGATGCTCTATGACACAAAAGTCATGGTTTGGAAATGCTAAGTAATACTGTCCCCTCCCTGCTATAGTCAAGCCTCTTAGTTTTATGAAAACTAAGATCTGGGAACATTAAAAAAAAAAAGCATTGTTCTCAAGTTCACACAGAACTAGACTAGAAGAGAACAGAACCTAGACTAAAATACAGTTCTCTTGAGTCCCAGACCAGGAACCATCTACTACTTGAAAAACAGAGGTAAAATCCATTCACTGAACATCACTGTATACACAGGTACTGATATTAATTTTTTGTATTGACTTTTAAATGTACAATGTCATAAATTAACATAAGACTCTTTCTTCTTTTGAATAAACCAACAACCTCAAATAACTGCTACATTGGGATTGCAGCAGATACAAGAGTTCCTTACCAACTATTCCTCACAATGTCATAAATCCAGAATGAATTTCTAACATTTTCTTCCCTCTTTTCCTTATCTTTGCTGAGTCCAGATAAGACATGTATTTCATTCAGTTCTGGATCAATAGTTGCTCTCTGTGTAAATCCTGTCATTGGAACTACAAATTAAAGAAAAAAAAAGATGAAAATACTCACTTTAGATAGTTTAGTATTTACTTTCTTAATTCTTTCTTTCTTTGTTTATTTTTATTTATTTATTTGAGACGGAGTTTCGCTCTTGTTGCTCAAGCTGGAGGGCAATGGCGCCATCTCGGCTCACTGCAACCTCTGTCTCCCGGGTTCTCCTGCCTCAGCCTCCCGAGTAGCTGGAACTACAGGCATGCACCACTGCGGCTGGCTAATTTTGGATTTTTAGTAGCGATGGAGTATCTCCATGTTGGTCAGGCTGGTCTCGAACTCCCGACCTCTGGTGATCTGCCTGCCTTGGCCTCCCAAAGTGCTGGGATTATAGGCGTGAGCCACTGTGCTTGGCCTATTTTTTTTTTGTTTTTAAGAGACAGAGTTTCACTCTATTGCCCAAGCTGAAGTACACTGGCACAACCATGACTCATTGCAGGCTAGAACTCCTGGGCTCAAAGGATTCTCCTGCCTCAGCCTCCCAAGTAGCTGGGACTACAGGCATGCACCACCACACCCAGCTAATTTTTGGGTTTTTTATAGAGATGGGGTCTTGCTACGTTACCCAGGCTGGTCTCAAACTCCTGGCCTTAAGCAATATTCCTGCCTCACCCTCCCAAAATGCTGGTGTTACAGGCATAAGCCACCACACCCCGCCCCTACTAGTTTCTCTTGAAAATATCAATACACCTTTATTCTGCTCTATGTGTCCACATTATTTAACTTCTAACACACTACATAACTTTTTAATTAAACAATAAACAATTATATATTGCCTTCTCCTTACTCTATGAGCTCCACAAGCAAAGAGGCCGTTTTGCTCACTATTTTGTTCCCAGTATCTAGAAAAGTGCCTGGAATATAACAATTTTTTTTTTTGAGACGGAGTCTTGCTCTGTGCCCCAGGCTGGAGTGCAGTGGCGGGATCTCGGCTCACTGCAAGCTCCGCCTCCCGGGTTCACGCCATTCTCCTGCCTCAGCCTCCCGAGTAGCTGGGACTACAGGCGCCCGCCACCTCGCCCGGCTAATTTTCTTGTATTTTTAGTAGAGACGGGGTTTCACCGTGTTAGCCAGGATGGTCTCGATCTCCTGACCTCGTGATCCGCCCGTCTCGGCCTCCCAAAGTGCTGGGATTACAGGCTTGAGCCACCGCGCCCGGCCGAATATAACAATTACTAAATGATTTGTGGAAAGACTAAAGGAATGTCAATTGCCAGCTACAGGGAAAAAAGAAGCAGAATGAGGTATGCAATATAATCATTTTTACATAAGGAAGGAAAGGATATACTTTAATTAACTGATTTATTATCTGGGACAGTTCTAATTTGATAGTAGAGATTAAATATTTAAATCTTGACCTGGGAAAAAAATTTGACAAAAGGTAAAGCACAGAGTTGCTTAATAAGGTCAGAGTCATTGAAAATATCTGTTCATAACATACAATAACTTCCAAAAAATAAAATTTAATATTCTGGGCCAGGTACAGTGGCTCATGCATGCAATATCAGTGCTTTGGGAGGCCAAAGTGGGAGGATCACATGAGGCCATGAGCTCAAGACCAGACTAGGTAACACAATGAGACCTTGTCTCTATAAAAATTAAAAATCAGCCAAGTGTGGTGGTGTGCACATGTAGTCCTAGCTATCTGGGAGGCTGAGGTGGGAGGATCCCTTGAGCCCAGAGTTGGAAATTGCAGTGAGCTATTATCGTGCCATTGGACTCTAGCCTGGGTGACAGAGTAAGACTCTGCCTCTAAAGCAAATAAATAAATAAATAAATATTCTGGGGTATAATATGCCATTTTGTTTTCCTGAGTGGCTTAAACTCCCCAAAGTTAATAATGCTGTATTTTTCTAAGAAACCTATTAAATAAATGATCATTCTGCATTATCCAATAATCTGTAAAACACTGATATGGCATATGCCAAATTTTCTTATTTTTATTTGAAAATATTATTTGAAATACAATTCCATATATATAAAGTGCATATTATGAACTCAGCTACTTCACAAATAATTGTCATCATCTAAAACAATGTCATTGTTTTAACATTTCTTTTACCCATGAACAATTATCATATGCTCAAAAAGCTAAACAAATATCAGACTGAAGTGAAATATTTATGTCAACCTAGAATACTATGTATGGCAGGAGATGCCAGCCATATTGATCTTGGTCTTCTTTATCTGCTTTAGTGGGACCAAATAATCCAGTATTTATTTTTTCCCAGTCTACCTTAAATTCATGTGTCATTTTACATTCTTATTTGATAAATTTGGGACATTTTAAGGACTACCCAAATGCATTCCACAGTAACTATATTATAAAATTACACACACAACATATAATTTGTATACATACATACACGATATTTATATGTATACACAAACATATATCAACCTGATCTTAATAACAGCCTACGCCCTCATGCCACAGTCTTTTGTGTATGTAAAGTCTGGTACAGTCGAACGTCCATATCCCTGGGTTCTGTGTTCAAGGATTCAAACCACTACAAATTTAAAATATTAAAAAAAAAAAAAAACCCAAACAAAAAACAAAACCTATAAATGGCTGCATCTGTATTGAAGATGTACACACTTTTTTCTTGTCATTATTCCTTATGACAACTATTTACATAGCATTTACACTGTATCAGGTATTGTAAGTAACCTAGAAATGACTTAAAGTATAGGAGGGGATGTGCATAGGTTACACCATATCACAGACTTGAGCATCTGAGGATTTTGGTATCCAAGGGAGGTCCTGGAACCAGTCCCTCAAGGATGCCACGGGACAACTGCCTTTTCTTAATAAGGCATGGTAAACTTTCAGAGGCGATGTGCTCAGGTTCTGACCTCTATTCCTCAGATAACTTTGGAAGATAAAACAGTGAAGAACTGGAATTACTTTCATAAGTGGTAGAAGTGAAGAGTATAACTGCCTAAATTTATTGCACTTAAATTTCTTTAGATAACTTTGGAAGATACAACAGTGTAGAACTGGGATTACTTTCATAAGTGGTAGAAGTGAAGGATATAACTGCCTAAATTTATTGTATTTAAATTTCTTTATTCTATTTTGTCTTAATAGTGAGTCTCTGAATTAAAAATTTAATAACATGGCTTGGCAAACTATGGCTTGATGTGGCCTGCTCAGGGTAAAATCAGGCAATGTCCATTCATTTACATGTTGTCTACAGCTGTTTTCACCTACAATAATCACCAGAGCCTATAACTCACCAGAGATAAAAGATGGAAAACTTCCAAATAAGTCATCGAATACAAAGAGGAGAAGTAGATTGTGAGGAAGACTTCCGTGGAGAGCTTCTAATAAGGACATAGGGGCCTGAATAAGAATGACAGCAGAGCTTAAAGTAACTCCTAATCTTTACTTTGTTAATCATACAGGTTCCCAACTGTGTGCCTATTCTCAGCTTATGCATTCTGTAAGAAAGCTTGGTTGACAGTATGTGCTGTGCACTTGTACAAGACCTTGATCAGTGTCTCATTTATGAGAGAAGCCTACTGGAAAAAGAGACCTATACATTGTAAAAGAAACCACTGTTAACTATCTTTCTTAATTGATACAGTCCTTTATTCATAAATGTTAAAGTTTAGACATGAATTATAGACATACGAGGAAAAAAATCAACAGTGCAAAAGAGAGGGACCTAGATGAACAAATAGAACAACTGGGAAAAGACAAATCACAGAAAAGAAAATAACTCGGGGGCGGGGGGGGGAACCCATCAATATCCTTGAAGAGATTAAAGAGAATATTCCATGTGCAAAACAAGAATAAGCTCCCATAAAAAGGAGCAGGGACTATGAAAAGATACTAAAAAGTAAAGCTATGACCAAAAACTTCAAACGACAGAATGAAAATACAGACATAGTTAGAAACAAAGTCAGTGGTCTCTAGATAAAACTGATAAATCACCAGAATAAAGAGCAAAAAGATAGAAATAATGAGGGAAAAGTTAAAGGACACAGAGGATATATCCATCGAAGTCAAATTATCTGAAAAAAAGACCAGAAGGAAAGAAGAAATAATGTAGAAGAAAAAATAAAAAAAGTTTCCCTGAACTGGGTGTCCGGTTTGAAAGAGCCCACTGCAAGCTAGGCATGTTTAATTTAAAAAGATGGTGCACACATACATCTATATCTATGTTTAATTTTTAAAAAAAGATGATATACAGATGTACATCTCTACCTTAATACGAAACGTTAAAACTCCAGGAAAAGAAAAATTCTAAAAGCTTCCAAAGAAGGAAACAGCAGATTACTATATACAGAGGAATAAAAATCAAACTAACATGAGACCTTGTCAGGGGCTCAGAACACAATACACTCTGGCATGCTAAGTACTTTGAACTAAAGGACACTGGAAGGCCTCAGAACAGCTTCAGTACCAAGTTCTCTCTCACTTCTTTTGCCCTCCTGCCTCTCTTCCCTCATTCTCCCTAGAAGTGAGTCATCAAATCATAATTCCTCTTCCCCAAGGTGGGTCATAAAAACTAGAACCTCTTTTTCCCAAAGTCAGCCTAGACTTTCAAATTCTAAAAACTTGAATTACTGATCCAACTTTCCTCTGCCTTTCTGTCTAGGAGCTGGCCATAAAGAAATTCTGTGACCCACCCTTGTCTGATGGTAGGTCCTAAGACCCTTCTCTAGCAGGGTCCTGCCCCATACCTAGGAGGAAGAAATGCTACACAGAGGGGCCAAGAAGAATCCGAACAGACAGGCCTTGATGGGTTTCCCCACCTCAGTCTATCTGCATTAAATCATAGCCATTTACCAAATCACATTGCTAACCAGCTGTTCATTCTTCATTAAATCTTAGCATAAAAATGGACAGTTTTCCCTGTATCTTTGGGTCATTTCTTCTGAAGGCTCACACGCCACATGAAACTTTGATTAAATCAATTTGTTATGCTTTCTCGTTAACCTGTCTTTTATTATAGGCATGTCAACCATGACT